GCTAAGTTAAGTTCAATGTTAAAATTACCAGTAGTTCCAGATGAGAAGAGAATATTTGTAAATGCTTCTATGGGTTGTTCTACAGCAGCAAATTCATTGTCTCTGAAGATATGAAAAGGAACAATCCAACATCGGTATCAGAGCCTGTTGATAATTAGATTCTTTGAAGATAATTATGTAATAAGTCAAGTTATTTTAATGTACACAGACAGCATTGACAAACCTAAAGAGGATCTCATCTGAGACAACAAAATCGAAGGAAAACTGGTCCATAAACAAGAATGGAGATGGAATGAAACAACCTAACGTTGCCCGTCCAAATGTCATATTGGCTAGTTCACACACAATGGTATGCCAAGATTTTGTAATCATGCTGAATCATGCAGATTTCATAAAGGAAGAAAAAATAGTGCATACTTGAAATCTTTTACTGTTTCTAGAAAATCATGCCAGGAAATGTCACCATCACGCAATTTCGTGCTAGAACTGGAACCTTTGGTAAGAATAACGATTGCCATAGGAGACTCTGCTGCCACAATTTTACTGCACAATTGAAGCTAAATGTGAGACATGCTGTCTGGGAAACGAAAGCATGAAACATACTATTTCAACTCATAGCTAGAGTACTTCACCTATACAAGGGCAGACTTTTCTCGCCGCGTTTTATTAGATCCTAACCAAAAGAAAAGAAAAGACAAAGATTAAGAATTTGAGACTCAAAGGACTAGATTTGTAAAAGTCAAGTTTTCCTTGTTCAAGTTGGAAACTAGATCATGAATTGAGAGACTCAAAGAGCTACCAGTAAAACAAGAGAACTGTTTCCAAGTGACTTATACTAATACCAAAAACAAAGAAAATCAAACTACAAACAAAATTGGAAAACAAGGTGGCAGGTGTTTCATTCAAAACTACCAAGTCCTTTTTATGTTGAAGCAAAAACATAAGACATGGAAAAAAAAAAAAGGAAAGGAATAAGGACGAAAATATGGTAACTATACATATATAATCCTAAAGAAGCTGAGGCAATATCAAATTCGTTCTGTAACAATCAGAACAAAAATCATCAAGTTAGATGTAAAACCCGAAAATTATTCAGTAATTTCAAGTGGAAGAAACAGCAATGGAGCTAGTGTATGACATACATGGTGAATTGAGGCTATCAAAAAGAGAATTCAACAATCAATGACAGAAACAAATGATATAATTCCATAACAGAGGAAAGCCTTGTTACCATTTTCTCATAGCATCCATGTCAGTACAACAATCTCCCACTAATACCTTGAAATTGAATAGAATACTTTTGTGTCCTAACATGAAACTAAGGTATAGACCCACACCCTCCAGTTTACACATCAAGAGGATCGAATAGATTATGGAAAAATGAAAAATTATCCAGTGAAAAAATGGACCTGGGTAAATATGGCTTTTGCATCCGATATTTTAAGCCTTGTTGATATTTCAGGAGGAGCAAAACTATCAGCGATTGATACAACGACACATCCTGCCAGAACAATAGCCAGGTAAATAACTATGGAATTGACATGCATCGGCATATCAATTGCGATTGCAGAGCCTTCTCCAAACCCAGTGCTTTTAGCGCATGTGCAACTAACCTGCATATTGAAGCACCAAAAATGTGTTAAACAAAACTCTTCTCTTTATAAATGCATAAATACACATACTCCCCTTTGTGTGTATTTCCCCTTGTTGTGTGATAGGTGCAAATAAATAAGTAAACATATATTAAATCTCAAAAAGATTTCAACATGACAAAACTTAGATGATCAAAAGTAGCATACCAAACCTCTGTGCGCAATTCTTTAAGCGTCATCTTATTCAAAGGCAGATCATCATTTCCCTCATCGCGCCATATCACCATAGTATCATTCAAGCTCCTCTTACGATTTACAATCAAGCAATTTTTGGCCGGATTCCCAAACGCTCCAGGAAGCCATTGACCTCCAGGAACTAACAAATGCCCATCTCCAGACAAATTCTCGCGTAAAATGCATTGGGGAGGTGTATAAAAGGATGCATTCATCTCATCTAGTAGTACAGTTTTCCAATAAACCTGTCGAACAAAGACAGGGATCAGATATGTGAAATGAGTACCAAAGTGATAAACATCTCAGCATTCAATAAATACTACCTCAGGGTTTGACACCGAAAATTCCTGAAAATCCGAAAAGCTGGATATGGGATCCTTGTATCTAGAACCCAAGAGCTCATTTCCCCTCCTCTCAAGTAGCTGGCCAACATTTGTTAGTCCTGCAGTCTCCCTTATCACACAAAAAGAAATGCACTTTCAGAATTTATTATCAAAATCTCAGTGTAAAAACTTCAAAGTTTCCTACTTTAACAACCCTCTAAACTCTAATGGCTTCATTTGTCACACGCGATTCATTGCCAAGAAAAAAACTGTGAACAACTTTTCCCCAAAACAACTTTCCAAGGAACCAAACACTCCCCCGTAAGAGAAATGGCACCGCTTTCATTAAAAATTGAAGTACTTCCTGGAAAAGCACATGAAAGTCAGAGCATTTATAACCCAAAAGCATTTTTTTGGACAAATTTAGCGGCTTAGTGCTTTTGCTGCTCTGAAAGTGTTTTGGCCAAGCACTTCCAAAATGGCCCTGACTTTCCTAATTGTTGTTACGTTCACAGGCGTTTCGTCACCTAGGAATTACAGAAGTCTTTTCCAGGAACCAAACACACCCTTTAAACTTTAAACTCTTCTGGGAAGCAGTTATGTTCGTAAGAGCTTTTGCAGAAAGTGCTTTGGTTAGAAGATGGCGCAACTTTTACTAAAAGTTGAAGTCTGCTTCCTAGAAAAGCACTTGAAAGTAAGTGCACGTATAACCCATAAGCGTTTCAGCTTTTTCTGTGAAATTATCCCACAAGCGTTTGTTGCTCTGAAACAGAAAGTGCTTTTGGCCATTCTAAAACCGCTTCTAAACTATCAGAATTTCCCGCTGGTTCGTTTGTTCGTTATGCTCACAGGCGCGTTTCATCACCAAGAAAACACACAAATTTTTCCAGGAAGCAAACACTCCCTCTAAACTTTGTAAGTAAATAATTTATAACTCCAAAACTAAAAACCAAATATCAAACTTTTTTTCTGGGTTGGAAAACTAACGGGTCAGGCATCCAGGCGGGCGGGTCGGGTCCGAAGTCCTTGTAGCAGCCGTAGTACAACATCCGGTGGAACGAGAAGGGAAGTTCGGGGCTGAGCACGTGCGCAGTGATATTGCGCCACGTCTCCGGAGTGGTAGCTCCGTAATTAGCGATGATATCAGTCAAACTTCCATGGAGTCTCTTCGCAGCACCCGATTCGATCCCCAGATCTTCGATGTCGGAAATTGTAACGCCGTCCAGGCTCTTATACGCCATCATCTTCCCGCCGCCGTCGCCAATAATTAGAAACACAGAGAGAGAGAGAGAGAGAGAGAGAGAAATGAGAGCTAAGCTGGTGAGCAGGTAAGTTGGAGGGTTGGGGAGGTGGGGCCCGGTGCGTGGTGGTCGAGGGTGTGGGTGCTTCTACTTGGTTGTCAGTTGGCAGATTTTGGGTATGCGTGTGTGTGTAAGATAACAGCTTCTACTAGGTTGTTGGTTGGTTCATTTTTCAAATTTTTTAGAAGTTTTAACGAAACATTAAGTGCTATTTACTTACAATATTTTTTGTTATTTTAATTAAAACTCTAAGTTTTCAAATATTTTTCATTAATTTTTTTTTTTGGAGCTTTTAGATCCAAGTCCAAAAACATAAATGATTTTTAGGAGTGAGTTCAATTATTTAATTACATATTTTTATATTTTTATACTCATTTTATATTTTCTAAAAATATTAAAAATCAATTAAAATCTTCTAATATTATGCATTTTCCAACTCCAAAAAATCTAATTAATATTTTACAAGAAAAAAAAAAAAACTAAAATACTAACATAAATCTATTTGCAAAACATTCTAGCTTAACTCAAGTAACAAATATATGAATGTATTTTATACATGTAAGCAAGATATGAAACCTAACTAAAAGGTAGAAGAAAAAAAAACATAATATACCTACAAGCAAGACACATTAATTTGTGACAGGTTGATTATAAAAAAGAATCTGTTATATAGATACATAAAAATAATTCCTATGATATAAGTTGATTATAAAAATTAAAAATATAATTTATAAATGAGGTTTAAAGCAGAAGGAAGAACAAGAAATAACAAAAATAAATAAGTAAATAAAAAGAAATAATTAATGAGATAATTAGGAAGAAATTTAATTTTTATAATATATTATTTATCATTGAATAGATAATTATTAATAATTAAATAATTAAATTTAAAGAATTGGATTTATTTAAATAGATTGGACTATTTCAACTATGGGCTAAAAAAATTTGACTTATATCAAGATTCTCCATTTTATTTGTTCTTTTGTTTGTGCTCTGTCGTTTCATGGGGAATCTTGTGCGTTTTATGCATGAAGTTGTTCTCTTCTGGAGTGTTCGGTGTTCCCTTAGACTCTTTATTTTTTGTGGAACTTCTAACGGTGTTACTCAAAATGTCATTGCTCTCCATTGTGCCAAGTCCAGGAACCAAGACTTTAATTCAGTACCATCGCTCCAATTAATCCAACGTCAGATACCATTACTTTAATTTTCTCTTATAATTTTATTGGTTAAGACTTAGGCACGCGCGGTTTATGGCTCTTGTTGCATGCATGCACACTGATAAACTGTTTTCTTGGAGAAATTTTTCATTGTGACCGAAACACGGATGACACACCATGTGTTTTTATATAAATGGTGAAAAATTTTACTTTTTAAGTTATTAACTTTTTAACACACATATTCTACCATTTGCATAATGACACGTAGTATACCATCCCGTGTTCCGATCACACTGAAAAATCTCTCGTTTCTTGGCGCAGTTGAAGTTCTGGTCTGAGGAGATGTTTAAAAAGCATATAAAGGGGCCAAATGCCCACACCATAACCTCAAGGTAGTACAAGTACTCGGTTATTGCCGTTGTACAAATGCTGTTTTACACGTTCTGTACAAGATTTCGACCAGCAAGAACACGAAACAATTTAAAAGCTACTCAGTCGGATCCAGGAAGAAGCTTTCGACCGGACCGCGCTGACGTGCTGCTTGTGCCAAAACGTCCAGCCGCTGCCGGGATGACTCTTGATGGCGAAAGGACCTCCGCAAAAGATAAATTGTACGAATCTGCGCCTAAACGGCTCTGTAACCATCCCTTGCTTCCTGAGAACCCATCTGCTACTGTCCAACAGTTCTTGAACCCTAGACTAGTTAGTGCTCGTGCAACTATTTTTCCTGAATCCGAGTACCTGTTTACGCGAAACAAGAACGAAAGCAATGTCACAACTCATAATTTAGCTACTAGTATGATCAAGAGAGCAATATCTATGTCAGGTAGTAATTTTAAGTGTTGGAGCTTAATACAAAAGAACTTACGAATCCAGGATCACGATGTTGGAGCCTTTGTTAACTCTCTTGAGGTAAGAAATCTTCAGAGCGGCTATCTCTGCCTCTACTTCTTCACGTTTCTGACAAGGCCTCGCAATTTGTTCGGTAGTTCTTCCAAACTGGAAAGAAAAAAAATATTAGAGGCACCGAAAAGTTCATAAATCGGATGCACAAAGGGTACAAATTAAAGGATTGAGGATGCCGAGGAGAAGTTACTCACGGAATGGGAATCATTTTGTTTTTGGCACTTGATGGTAGGCGGGGAATGCCTGCCTTGTCCTTGTCCTTCTCTGGTCGAATATCGATCAAAAGGTAATTCTTTGTTGATACGAGATCAAGGGTTTGAGCAGGAGTAAGCGAACCTGAAGTTAGTACAACAGAAAACCATACAACAATTAGTCCATCCCAGCTTCACAACACATGAATTTAGTAATAGTACCATCCAAACCAAAACTTGTTTCGAATATGTGTTAAGCAAGCAAACCTAAATTTAAAGTACTCGAATTTGAAATTGATCGATATGGTGCGTAAATGCAGTTATACGTGCTATTTCAAGCAGAAGACGCCATTGTTTATTCTTGTTTCGAATATGTTTACTGTTATACAGACATGAAGCAATTCCATTTCGTATAAGCTTGTATACCTTGGTAACCACGGAGGCTAAAAGAGAGAGCAGACCAGACGGGAGGAAGAAGGAGGTACGCGAGGAATAAAGCTCCAGCAGTTCCGGCAATCACAATAGGATCTGCAGATGAGATGGTCTCGATAGTTGATGAAGCAATGGGCTTGGCCTCTTCGATTGCTTTGGTGGTCTCCCCTGCCACATCAGCTACCGTCTGAGACCAAATCGATCTCAGTCAGTGTATTTAATTTAAGTAAACGGAGTGCTTTGTACACAAGTCAACCTTACAATCATCCATTTCCCAATAAGCAATGGATTTTGCAGTGTCAATTTGTTCACATAAAAGTATATGGAAGTGTTTTAATGCTCTACTAGAGATGAAGACTGTTGCATAGTGAACCGCTTCCGACTACATTATATTGATGAGAATGTCTCCTGACATAGTGAACCTAAAACAACTACATTTAGCGGTGTTTGTATCTCAGTTGGTAAGAACTTGAGAGCATTCTCCCTAGCACCCGAGGTCCGAGTTCAAAATGAAAATTGTATTGCTCATAGATATCCAAAAGTCAGGTACTCAGAAATTATATCTCAATTCGAAGTTCGAACCACACTAACCACTTATCTGAAAAAGTAAGTTAATCAGCAAACCCCTTGTGATTGCATTTGTAGTGATGCCCTAAAATCAAGCAATTCATTGGGCTTTTCACTAATTTTCGGCAGATCATTGCAAGTGGAAATTAAATTGTTAAAGAATAAACCTTTGCAGCACTGAGAACAGGTTGTGTGTCAACCCCAGCGCCTTGGATTGCTTGTTGAGCAATCTTAGTAACCTCGGAAATTGCCGGAGAAGCAATCTTCAGCGCCTGCTCTCCGGCCTGTTTCGCAATAGGCAAAGCCACATCAATGCCGGGCCTCACTGCATTCAGAACAGCTTCCAGAACATGTGCTGTGCCGTCGAAAACGGTCGAACCCACTTGCTGTATCTGATCAATCGTCTGCTCCACCTGCCAATTCAAGCAAACAAAACAAGAAAGGTCAGAACTTTGAACAATTGGCGGCAAAAAACGAGAAAGATCAGAACTTTGAACAAATGGTGGGAAACCCATTTCAAATAAAACAACTTTATACAATTCTTACTTCAGTGAGTGAAGAGACAATCTGGTCCTTGGAGAGGCTGAAAGCTTTGGCTTCAATGGGGGAGGTGAAGAGGGCTAAAAGGGAGATTGTCGTTGATGTTGGTAGGGAAACAGAGGTGGGTCTAGGCTTGAGAGAAAGTTTGGGTGTGGTCGGAGATGGTTGAGGCAGGGAGGGTCTTGGGGTGGCGGAAGCTCTGATGGCCATCTCCACCGCCATCTCTGCCACCTCTCACTCAGTCTGAGTGGCAGAAGTTTGAGTTTATTTTGGATGGATCACAAGTATTTCTTATGTGGTGAGAAATAAATGGACAGGATAAGGAACTTTACTGTTTGGCCAGTGATAAAATGGCTTTCTTCCATCGGCTAATGATACCCACGTGGCATTTATTGTAAAGGACTCCACACCAAGCAAATCCTACGTCGCATACAAGTGGTAGTTGGGGGTGAATGAGCCAACAGGATCCTCTCCGGATCTTTGGTGAGGATTCTGAAATTTGTGAATTGTATTCGTTTATCGTATATTATACGATTAGTTTTTGTAAAGTACTATTTATATTTATTTTTAAATAAAAATATTCAAAATAATTTTTAATTGCACGATATACGATAAATAAATATGATTCATGGATTCGCAGAATTCTCACAAAGTGAATCTGGCAAGCATCCGGACTCACGAATGAGGATCATCCCTCTTTTTTTTTTTTTTTTTTTCTTTGAACAAGGAGATCTGATCTCTCAACTCTCAACTAAGTAGTACAGCTTACCGTGCGGATATATGAACCACAAAACCCCTAGGCCTTGTTCAGTCATTAGGGTTGGATAAGTAAAGATGTCTGCAGCGTGCATTCTCATAAGTTTGCCAATGCACTCTATGTCAAATTTCAACAATCTAAATCGTCTATTTTTTAAATTATACTTCATACTCATAAAATCATCTTTGTAAAAATTGGCCATATCGAAAATTATTTGAGTCATCTAATTGCGTTAAAAGAAATTGACGAACATTATGTTCTAATAAATATTGAAATTTCATTCTAACAAGTAAATGGGCAAATGGTTTTAGATTAAATTGAATTTTTGAAAGGATGATCTATGAATCGAGACTTACAAATAAACGTTTCAGATCGTTAACGTTCAATGTGAAGTAGGTCCCACAATTTCAAAAAGTGGGGATCAACTGTATATACATAGGGGATATGTATATATTGCAGCAACCATTACTTTTTTATGGTTCTGTTTGGACCTAACATTATTGGGTTCGGGCCGAGTATGGAATTGTTCTCTGCCCAGAAACTTTGTTCGAGGATTTCTACAAACCAGCCGGTTCATGGGCCGCCTAACTAAAAGTCGGCCAAGCCCTATTTGGAAAAGAATATTCCAGATGAATAGGAAGTAGGTGGGCCCTATTGCAAAGCAGATGAATGAAGTGGTTAAGTCCTGATGTAGTAAGGATTTTCGGCCAGATAAGGATACCGGAAAGTGGAAGTGAATGTGGCCTAGTAAGAGGTTGAATTCAAAATCCTAATAGAAGTGGGATTGGTCAAGATAAGATGGATTGGGGTAAGGAGTCCTAGTTTGAGTATGGTTAGGATTGGGTTTTGCTGGTATAAATAGAGAAATGAGGGTGCAATTCAAGGACCTCCAATTCAACACACAATTGCCCTGCGCAAACCTCTCAAACAACTTGAGATTTTTTTTATTTTCTTTTTCCGCCGACACATCTTCAGTTTGGATAAACAACACTGTGGAGGCAACTGGCAAACACCTTCAATTTGGATAAATAGCACTGTTGCCGTAAAATCAGCCGACCGAGGAGTACCTTCAGTTTGGATAAACAGCACTACATCGAGGCCGACTGGTTACTTATCTAAGTCTTGGTCGAGAAGGGTTTCCGAATCCTTATTGGCAGAGGTTATCTTATTAGCCTTTTCAACGAAGTAAGGTGTTACGAGTTACGACATTCAGCGCATTAAACGCTGAGTGGTTTTATGATTGGATACTCCCATGTGAGTTTTAAAGTTCGGCATTCTAAGGGCTGAACGACATTTACCATCAAGACACACATTACCTTTGAATACTTGTGTCCATATAGTTTGGTGTCGATTCGACGTGCTTATACTTTCACGAATATAATCACCGTGACCGAATCCGACGCCGACGACTCATGAACTTAGCAGAACTAGCAGCCTTGTCTTCAGACTCGAGAATCCAAAGGCTGAGATTTGTTCATTCCTCGGCCGCAGTCGCAAGATAAAGAAGTCAGCAACGCGCTCAACGCAACATCAACAAATTTTACTCCTCGGTCGACTAGTTGGCACGCCCCGCATTCAACCAAATAACGTAGTTAACTTATTAGTTACTCGGCATGCCCGCCACGTAGGCTTTGTAATTTTTAGGGTCAACAGGTTCCAAACTTCCAACCATACAAAATGAGGGCTAATCTACCATAATAATTCCGAAGATCGGCTTTAGTTTGAGTACTTGACGTTGCAGAACTTGGGCTAGCAATTCATATATTTATGGTGGAGAGTTATATTCCAACTGTGGGAAGAAATACAAAAGACTATAGGAATCTAATTCAGAATGTCCCAAAAGAAGTATTTGTTTTAGCCTTTTAGAGCATTTCTAAAAGATATGTCAAATTTTAAGTATCAAAATGATATTTGACGGCTTATGTGGTAATTTGACATTTTATACAATATTTTGCTCCATCCAATATATGAAATAATAATGTCCCTTAATAAAAATCTTTCTATGGGTTGGGTCCAATGATTGAGACAATCAATCAAATACTTGAAAAACATAACAACATTGATCATATATTATATTAATCAATTTAATAAATTTAACATCTGCTGTCAAATTTGATAGCAAAAGGCTTTGCTTTCAATTGACTCAGCGCCACGTAAGAAATTGAAGGCTCGGTCGGAGAAAGTTTGCTGCCATTTTTACTGTTGTATGTCTACGAGGCAGTTTTAACATTTCCTTTAGAGATGCTTTGAGGTGAGCAAATTTCATAAAACAAGAGTTCCTTGCTATATTGGAAATGAATGAGAAATCTGAAATCATACAAAGTGACGATAAAAAAGGGATTATGATCAGGGGCAGAACTAGGATTGAGGGATGTTTTCTTGAGTTGTTGGGATTGCGAGGGCTAATTTTGTTAGAGTAGAGCGGGTTCATTTTCGAAAAAAGGGGCGAACCTCGTAAATTTAGCACCAAAATCTATTTGTCCTAAACCACGTCTTCAAATGAAACAATGCTTGAGATAGAGGGAGAGTGGGGAGAAAATCTACTTTACTACTAAGTTGTATACAATTATGTATCTATTTTTATCATTACAAGGCTAGTCATGTCTCACGTGATGAGAAAGAAAGGCGCATGATTATGTACAACTCATCAATGACAGAGTCAGGAATCGAGGGTAGGAGGGGCTCTAAGCAGTATTAAAGAAATTGGACAAAAAAAATATAACTAATGGGAGAAAAATTGAAGGTTCATTTTTTATATTGGAATGAAAAAATTATAATCAAAAGAGTGTATGGAGTCACGAAAAAGAATTAACATTGAGATAGTTACATCAAGCATCAAACTTCTTTATAAGTTCCTACATTGAAGTTGAACAAAAAATTAATAATCATGGCTCAAAATTGTAGCTGTGAAATTTTCCTTCAAGATAAATTCTTCATCTATTCCATATATGCGTGTTTTCACTGTAGACAACATTGTGTCATGCAAAGTGGTGAACTAAATAAGGAAGGATAGTTGATATATATATATAAGGTTTTGGTTTCATAACAATACTATTGTAAAACACATTTTTTGGTCATTCAGAATAAACATAATAAAGCTAGCTGAGAGAAAAAACACATAAGCCGATGAATGCAGAGTATCCACCAAAAGCACACAAACAGAAGCTACAAAGCGAAAAACTTCAGGATAGGCCTAGACCTCTTTTCATCCTCAAGTGACTCCGCCACTTCAACTCGTGACAACTAAAATTCCATCTGAGAGAGAATAAACAGATATTATATACGTAAAACCGGATGAAACCTAAAAATTCTGTCTAAGAGTAAGAAAGTACATTAAGAATCCATCAATAAAGTTGAAGATTTGGATTACTTTTCAGAAGACAAGAATTCCCCACAGGGATTCAAATTTTGAATAGAAAGTAGAACTTGTTCTGCGAAAAGTGCCAGAGTTTCAGTATTTTTAATTTCAAGTATATTGGCACTGTGAATATTAAGTTAGAATTAAACACTGTGGCTCTGTTTGATTTTTGGCTTTTGAGGTGTGTTTTTTGTTTCCTGGTAATTGGATGCATACCAACTTGAGGTATTCCCTAATTGGGGTTGACAGTGAGGTTAATTATATACTAATCACGATTATCATAGCATCTGTCGACACCTCATTGGTTTGGACATTTCTGCAACTACTCGAGACAAATATTCCCTCCCAGATCGTCATCCTGGCAGGATGTTAAACTACTAATCTAACCCTAGGATTTGCATGCTGTATGGATTTGGATCCATGTCAATTAATGTGTGCACCTACACCATTCATGTGGGAGACGTCCAAATCATCTTCAACCTTTTCTGATCTGCAACCAAAGCCTGGGAATCATGCTAGCTGCATATGGTGGCTGGTACTATTCCAGCACACATCACGTGGTGTTACTAATTTATGTTGCTTAAAAGTCACACTTAAGAATTTCTCCTATTGACGTTGAAGTTGACTAACTTATACAAGATCAAATCTCAATTACAAAATAAATATTTATAACCAAAATTTTAGATTTCTTTTTCACTCCAAATATGACAATACTGATGCTAATTCTTCACCTCAAAAACTCAAGAACTGACTAATTATTTGGAATTAAGCTTGCTTGCACCTATAGTCATTAGAAAAGAGAGAGAAAAAAACAAAAAGACTTTATTTATACTAACTTATATAATCTGGTCAAGTACAGTATAGGATGATTAGAAGAAAACAACATTAATGTTTATCAACTCTTCTCTTGACGTTTTCTAAAGTAAATGATTAACATTATTCATATTAATTACTTAATTAGTGTAACTCTTGACAACTGTTAATGTTAGTGAAAAAGAATTAAACCACTGAGAAAAAGCCCTTTAGCTATCATGCAATAACAATCGAGATCCTGAACTTCAATTGTTTTCAAATGTGATTGAGAGTTTTGATGAGCTTCTTTGTGAAGAACCTTATTCATTTTTTCCTTCTCTCCCCTTAATAAACAGGAACTTGCAATTATTCTTGGGACTCTGCATTCCCTGATTAATTAATACCTTAACATATGTTGACATATACTTTATAAACAAACCAACCCTAGATGAGACAACCAGCATGCCATGATCCCTGTCATCATTCTTACAGTACTCAACATATTACTATAATAACGCATAATTACATATGTCTTCTCTTTCATCCAAATCCTAGAGCTATAACCCCAACCCTTGTGATCTCGAACTCTCATGGACTCATCCTCAGTGTCCCAACCTATCCAAACACAAACTTTCCAAGAAAACAAAAAGAAAACCATGAGAAAAGGTAACAAAAATGGAAAAAGATTTCTGGGAGTGAGACAAAGACCATCAGGAAGATGGGTGGCTGAAATCAAGGACTCCTCGCAGAAGCTGAGGCTGTGGCTCGGGACTTTCGATCAGGCGGAGGAGGCGGCGTTGGCGTACGATAAGGCTGCTAGGCTCCTAAGAGGCAGGAATGCAAAAACCAACTTTCCCTCATGTCACATGTTGAACACACATGAAGAAAACTGCAGCATATTGAGAAAAAATCCAAGGCTTTATCAGCTCCTTCAGCATGCAATCATGAAGAACCATGCAAGATCCTCGTCTCTAAATAGAGCGAAGATTAATCCGTGGGATCGAAACCAAATTAGAGGAATCGATTTTGATATACTTGTCGAAGAAACTATAGTTTGTTCTTCGAGTGGTGCTGCTTCTACTTCAGGTCAATATCAAGGTGATCACGATGAGGATAGGAATAATAAGCTTTGTGCACTTTCATTTGGTAGTTGTAAAGTTTATTCTTCTGTGGTTGTAGCTCCTTCTTTCAGTGCTTCTTCTCAGTGCCAACAGGCGCATGATGAAGAAGAAAAAGGTTATCAAGAGGCCTAATTAATAGTCTCTTAATTTGTTATATGCAAATTTGGGTGGTTATTTTTGCAACAAATATGAGAAACAAGAAAATAATCAAAGGTAATTAGCTAGAGATCCTTGTAATTAAACTGTGCTTTTATTTTCGACTTTGGAAAATGATTAGATTTGTGTGTGTGTCTATATGTGGTTTCTGTTTAATGTGTTCTTCCAGCTTTTAGCCCTTCACTATCAATATTGAAATATGGAGGCTGGAAAATATATTTTGATAAGAAATTAAAATAGAGGTTTATTAGTAAGATAGGCACTTGCATATACAAGTAGCTAAGAGTCTGTTTGATAACTATTTGAGTTTTAGTTTTTTGTTTTCACTTTTGTGTCAGAGATAGAATGAAAATTTATGGAAGAAATGAAAGATATAGATGAATGAATGACGAATAGTGCATGAGAGAGAGAGATGTAAAAAGCGAAATGTTGCACAAAATGAAGACTAGAAACCTATAACCAAAACTATTTTAAGTTGTCTTCACTCTTCAAATTTTATTTTCATTTTCTGTTCTTACACTATCCTTCACTTTTAAGACTAAAAACGAACCCTAATTGTTTTCCGAAGTTAGAATCATAAATGACCGGAGGTTTTCAAAACTCATCATTTTAGTTTTCTGCGCTCAAAACCGATCAAAAGGGTTAAGAACTTTGAACATATGCAGATGCATGTCTTAATTTTGTAGAGAGAAGATGATGCAATATGCTTGTACAAGTAGTATACAAGTAGTAAAGCGGTCTAATATCTTAATGGATAAGGTATTGAATTTTTATCCATGTGTCCTAGATTCAAAAATCCTATTTCTTTTACATTATTGTAATAATTTCGAACTTTCCCTCTTCCTCTAATAATAATAAAAATAAAAAATAAATATGCTTAGCAAAATATAAATTTCTTGATTTCACAATTGTGTTCACGTGGCTAAGCCTAGTTAGTTTTAACATCTTACGCAACAAGGACATGTTCGAATCATTAAAGAAAGAACAGGACAACAACAAGAATTATATTCTATTTGGTCAATTTTTTGTTAGCCTCCAACGAAGAAGTTGTAGGTGTGAAGAGAATTTTGTCTAAAATGATTCAAAAATTAGAAGAAAATTTGAATAATTAACTAGCTTTCAGTAGACTTTAAACTATAGGAACATGTCAGGACAAAGCATGCATGTAGTCACCATTGGTGCTGAAAGCCTATAATTGGCGACGGATTCAGGATTTAAATTTTTGAAAATTCTGATGTTAAATGTTAATTGTGACATCCCGTCCCGGGATTTTTGGAACGCACGTGTGAAATTTCAATTTTTACCCCTAGTTTGTTTTCGTTATGTTTTTGGTTGTTTTGTGTGGTGTTGGCAAGCTTAGGGCCACACACACACACACTGTCTCACTCTCACTGTCTCTCACTGTCTCTCTCTTTCTCTCTCTTTCTTTCCCCCGAGAACCCCATTCCTTCTTCTTCATTTTGAAAACGTACGGACACACACACCAAACCCACCAAATCCTAGCAGATCGAGGAAACCAAGGGTACTGTAGTGATCGTGAGGTTGAGAGGAGTCCAGTGGTACCATTTTCAGGTAAGGTTGTAGCTGTTTTCACGTCGATTCGACGAGGTCCGTTTTAGTTACTATTCATGCAAACTTATTCTAGCGTGTTTTTGGACTTTTGAAGCTTGTAGTTGTGTTCGTGAGGTCCCAAGGAGCCTCGGAGTGCTTCGTTGGACAAATTTGGACGTCGGGATCGTCCTGTTCTAAGTTGGCCGGTTTTGGAGAGTTTGCACAGGTATGATCTAGTGAGTTTTAGACCTTAAAACATGTTTGGTTGTGTTCTACTAGTTTAGGGCTTTAATTTGGTGCAAGAAACGTGAAGAATGGTGGAAAAATGAGCGAGAAAACCCAAGTTACAGGTTTTCCCAGTTTCTGGCGCCGGCGACGTCGCCGGAGATTGAACGAAGAAGGTGACGGAATATTCCGTCAATTCTGACGGAATATTCCTGACGCCGTTAACGGTATCCGGTTAATTCTAACGGAATATTCCAAATTTTAACGGAATATTCCTGACGGCGTCAATTGACGCCGTCAGTGTGCATGGCACGTGGCCGCGCGTGGGGGGCGCGTAGGTCCGTGCCTATTTCGGCGCGTGGGGGCGCGTGAGGGGTCCAAAAATTATTTTAAAAATATAGTTGTGATCCTGAGGTTGTGTAGAGCACGTTGATATATTCATTTGTCCAATTTGAGCAATGTATGAGGAGTTATTACGAGGAGTTGGTTATGTGCTTTAAAGTCAACGTTTTTATAGCTTTTTCGCATATAGGTGACACGTACCCCGAGGACGAGCGTGCACACGCGAGGCAGGGGGGCTACGACCCTTCTACATACCAGTGAGTGGGCTTTTGGTTTTCCGTATATACCTATATACTATATTTTCCCAGAACTTGAATAAATGTTTATTCATTATGCCATGCATTATATTATCGTTTTTCGTGCATCGTTGGGTACGTTATTAGTTGCATATATTTATACATATGCATATTGGGTGCTGTGGACGCACAGGTAAGTGCCAGGTAAGCGTTGTGCATGTTTATGTTTCAGTAATGCTTTGTGATAGTTAGAGAGCTCATAACCTGCACCCCCGGTGTTAGTGCTCCCGCCCGTGGCCAGGGCACAGTCCTTCACGTGATGTTCACCTCCCGCACCTTATACTTACCTTGGATTCAAGGTAGGTGCACAATCCTGTCGTACAGACCACTTTAGGTGGTTCCGACTCGTAGGTGACCCGCGATTATTCGCCCAGTCTTCACGTGATCGTAGCACTTGTTTACACCCAGGCCTGTCGTACAGACCACTTTAGGTGGTTCCGACTCGTGGGCAGGTTTAGATATTGAGATTGAGATTTGAGCTCTAGATGCAGCCGTACAGGTCACGTTAGGTGACTCCGGCTGCCAGATTACATGATATTGATATGTTTATACCTGGGCACTTGCATATCGTTATGAGATTTTGGCATGACATATTCTTGAGCATGATTGGCATATCTACACTTACGTACATATGTTTATTTTCTGGGATGTATACAGGTTTTACGGCGAGGGGTTAGAAAGTATTTTATAAATGGTTTTCGAAAGCTTTGTTTTTGCCCACTCACACTTTTGTTTTGCGCCCCTCCAGGTTCTAGTTGAGTAGCAGTTCCGGTGGTTTTCCAGAGGGCTTGTTCGACACTTCTGACAGACACATATCATTGTAGGGTCACCTTCGGGTGAACTATTGTCGTATTTTTTTTTCTTTTGGACTGCTGTTGTCTGGCTCTGAATTTGTGATTCACACGCTAGCACTTATTTAGTACTTTGTATGCTAGTTTAGTTTTTAATTATTCGTACTTATATTACTACTTTATTAGCTTCCGCACGTGCACATGGCTACGTCACCTTAGTGTGACGGCCAGCACGCTCCGATCTCGGTCGGGGTGTGTCATTAATGTTCTAAAAGATGCTAGACGTTAGTTGGGCGGCGGGTTAGGGTCTAGCGTTTAGGCGGCTAGGGGGACCTAGACGGGGGCTTAGGCGGATTTAAGTAAATTTATTATATTGTATAAATAAATGTTTATTTATACTTTAAAACGCATAATTGTATTAGCATACATAAATTGCAAAATAAAATGACATATAGATTATAAAGTATTAAAACATGTTGAAAACATGGGGAACAAACATATAATAAGTGTTCATCTAAGTATTCAACAAGTCTTTACATTTTATTGACAAAATAATGCAAAAAGAAAATTATTGATTTTTTGTCCAAGTGAAAGGACATAGGCGGGTGCCTATGCGGGTTTAGGTGGGCTAGGCGGGCACTTGGCCTGCTAGGTGGACTTTCTTAATTTTCAAACGTCTAGGGACTAATCGGGGTAGTGACCAGTCGCTTAACTTGCCTAGGCGGCTTTAGAACGGTGTTCAAGGTTCAAGTTTTTTATATTAAAAGCGCAGAAACAAATTTTAGTTTGTTCACGAAGGCATTTATCGTACACTTGGTGGGCTTGTTGTCATTAGCCAAACCATGTTGCACATATGTCAATAGATATTGATGTTTTGGCAAAGCAATCTAATGAGTGTTATTGAGAGCATTTGCCGAGTGTTGTCGATGCAACTTGTCGAGTGCTGCCGAGATATGTCTAGCAAATATTATATCAAATACTTGATGACATAAAAAGAACTTGTACCATATTTTTGGAGGATCCCTGAAAACCCTTCACATGCTTGTTTCTCAGCCTTGGATGGTCCTAGGACCAACTTGGTCCCAATGTGCATCAGCTTTTACCTATAATATCTTTAAAGTTAGCTCAAATGATGACAATAGAACTCCAACTTATCATAACTGATAGAGATTTTACCACCTGCAAAGTAGGATAAAAACGCTTAAAATACTTATAAGAGAATAAGGTTGTTGTAGTATAAACGGCTCAAGTAAGACCGTTTTCCGCAAAGATTTTTTAAAACAATTTTTGAAAAACCCTAATCCTAGTTAATTATTTGAAAATAAAGATTGGAAAAGTTTGATTTTGAATTTAAAAGTAATAAAAACGAATTTTAATAAAAGTAATATAGGGAAAGCAACTAATACCCAATTAAAAAGGAAGCCAATCAAAGAGAAAAGATTTTGAGAAACAAATTTGGAAAAACACTAGGATTCTGCCAGTCACCCTAACAATCTTACTTAGTTCTTCTAATTCCTTATGAATTACACATATGTATTTTGAAGGTTAGGTTTTCCTAAAGTATGCCCTACTTGGAACCCCCAATACAGAACGTATATCTAACATGCAACCCGTCCGTGGCGTCCAGATTGAATGTGAACATGCAAGAATTATTAAGTTTTGTGAAAATCTTTTGAAAAACCATATAACTCCTAAGACGTGTCATCCATCCTAAGTAGTTACACATATTAACCACAAGAAGCCTTAATCAATTTTAGGGACAGCCATTAGCCAAAATTGCATCAAATTACTTTTCTAAATATCCTAATGGT